CAGTCATAGAAGGAGACCAGATTTGTCAAACAGGACCTGCCCTTCACAAACCCATGCAGGCTGGGTCTGATCACCTGGTTGTCCTGCATGTGCTGCGTAATAGAACTCAGGATGATCTGCTCCAGCAGCTTCCCTGGGACTAAAGAATAAGAACAAAACATCCAGTGGCAGGTGCACTCCCATACACAGAAAAAAAATGGATTTTCTAAACATCCTGAATAAGGAAGAAAAAACCCATTACATCTACACATCCAGTGGTATTTTATCTACTAGACTGAAGTAATTCTCAAGTCAAAATTGCACTAACATCTATTTGGAAGTACAGATGAATTATTAATAGTATTAATATCTTTGAAAGTCCTGGAAAAAGTAGGCTGTTTTATTTTCATGTATCAAAATATTTAGCCAGAGTCAGGGAATGCCACTGTCAACAGAAAATACTGTAAAAAACCTTCCATGTAAGTAATGATTCCCCCCTCCAAGAGGAGGTGTTGGGTTTTTTTCTCGCTTTTTTCAACAGCTTGTCACCTAACCCTAGAACAATTTCACAATCTTATTATTATTTTCTCCTCCTTCTCTCACTCAAAAACGCAAATATAAGTAATTAATCCCAAGAATGCATTAGATTCACGAAAGCTCCTTAAAAATTGTTCTCAAATTGCATTTCTTATACTCTGATGGTATACATAAGGTAGAGGCTACAGCACTTACTTTAATTTACAGCAAGACTAATATTGAGAGTAACTGTTTAGGAGACATACTTTTGTCGTAATTCTTACTTAGTTCCAGCTCCTCTCTAAAGAACTGCCTGTTCTTCTGAAATTAAGTTACCCTCTGTGAATCCCACACCACTCAAGCTGCTTTTGTTAAATGTAGGTAATCCTATATGTATAGAAATTTCAAGTGCAGCAAACTTTCCAGTCTCCTAAGTGAATCATTTTATCAGCTATATCCAGACAGCAGTGGTAAAGCTTTTTAAAAGTCAAATTAATAGTCTTTTGTAGCCTGAGTTTGTACTCAAATTTTTCATCATAAAATAATTAAGTCATCAACTACCTAAAGAATTTTAAAAGTATGTTGTAACAGCAAGGCACAGATAAATTCTCTGCTTTGTCATGGCAATTCATACCATTAAACTACTTCAGTTGAAAATGGCATTGGTTTTATACAGTTTTATTACTTTTAGCTTATTAATTGTGGAGCTTAAAACAGTACGCTGACAAAGGATGTAATTAATACACATTTTAGGTTTGCTATTTAGATGAAAACAACCACATAACTAAAGATGCAGATAAGACATAGGGAATTAACACATCTTGTGTGCTGTTACAAATGACTAACATACATGGTATAAGGCTCCTAGAGGCAGAGCTATTAGCACCATTTGTTACCAATGTCGTCCAAAAATTACCAGACAAAAATTCCTCTTCCTGGAACAGCTGACCGGTTCAGACACTAAAAGAGACTTCTACAATTCCATTTTGGCAGAATCTACAGAGGACCCTGTCATACAGTTACAGGGGACCACTGAAGGGAAAAGGAGAAAGCTGATTCAACAGGGAGTTGGGTTAGAAAAGACCATGAGCTAAGAACTAAGATGGGGTAAGCCTGACTTTCCGCAGAGTCCACCCTAGCAGAGACCACCTTGGCATGAGAACATTCCCTGTTAGCCTGATGAGGAGCTTTAGGCAGGGGCAGCAAGGCACAAAACGGGGCCTTCCATTCTTCAGGCATCATGCCAACTTCGGGCCAGCAAGGAGAGTTACTGGCTTGCTTTCGCCATCCTGGGTACAAGCTGAATCCCAAATCCAAAACACCAAGTTTGGCAATTGCAGCTGCATTCTGCTTTGCACGGCTATTTATATCAGGCATGTGGCACAGTCACAAATCTCAGGATATTCAGCCATGGTGCTATTAATAGAACAAACATGGAGGCTTACTGCATTGTATCTTTGGTTCGACAGTATACAAATTATGGGTGAAAGCAGGATAAACATGTTCCTATCCTTTTCACAGTGCATCTTCATTTGAAAACTGGCACCTACAGAAGCCCAACAGTCAAACAGAATTACTCTCTAGAGGGGCTGAACAGGCTTTGTCATGAGAAGGCTTTGATAACTGAGGGCACAGGAATTATTTCTCGAGTGACTGAGAACATGTGTTGCTGTTTCCATAAGGAACCACCCTCCTGAACTAATTATTAAAGTTATTTCTTTTCTTGCTCTTCAAACTGTTTTAAGACACTAGATCCACTTTTTCATGGCATGCTCAGGTAAATCGGCCAAAGATTTCAAAGAGCATTTAAGGAAACCCAGTCACAGTTATTAGTAGACTAGCCCCTTTCTAAAAATCAAGACCCTCAATGGCCTTTAACTCTTCCCCTCGGTTTTGGGACATCACTTATGTTTTAAGAAGCAGAAACTAACTGAAAGGGTGTACTGAGGTTCATGTTGTTGAACAAGGAAACAGAAGACTCTTTAAAAAAACACCTCACACAAAAAGTAAATATGAGTTTTGGGGTTTGAGGAATGGCCTGGCCTATGGTAGCACCCTCACAGCACTGAAACAGATCTCATAATGAAGGGTCAGGTTTAGGAACAGTATTCTCTCCTGACACTCATAAATTAGGATATGTGCCTCAAAATTTAACCTTGGGGTTGCTGGTCTGATTTGCAGCAAACCAAACCAAACCAATCAACCAAACTACAAAATCAGTATCCAAAGTAAATAATTCACAGGAATTAAACCAGAATTGTTTACAAAGCATTCTTAATTTTTCATCATCTCTTACACCTTGTCCTTTTGTTAGTGGTACTTAAAAAAGCACAAAAAATCTTTCTTGCCTTATAAAATTATGGGTCTTTCATGGACCGTATCCACTTTTCCTTCACAATTTACTTTTGTTCTGGAGAGAAGAATGAAGATTTGTCTTACTGCAAGTGTCAACTAACAATTTAAATTAAGAAGCTTTTAAGAAACTGTCCTTGGTAAAAACATTTGCTTAATAACAATGAGTAATTCCTCCAAACAGGTTGTCACAGTGACACATTTTGCTGGCAAAGATTAAGATTTTTCTGCATGTATGATGCCGTGTGTGAAGGGATAAAGTAATTGCACACCATTTGAAACCCGTTGCTTCTACATTCCTCAAAGGTAAGACCACGACCATTACGCAGGAGTGCACCTGCTGCTCTGGCGATCTGATCCCGCTGAAGCTGGACTCACTTAACCATGTGCTCCTGACTTGAGAAAAATAAATAAACAAACAAACCAAGCTGTACAAGTCAAACTTTGACCTCATTCACACAATCAAAATTTCAGACTAATAATTCTTCCAAATACATGACTATGCAAGATCTGTAGAGAGGAGACATTCCAAGTATTAAACTGATTTGCGAAAGCTTAAAAAGAATGCAAAGAGGATATCAATTTTTACAGGCTACATCTTTCAATAACAAATTTTCCTTTGTATTAAGAATTTTTTACTGTCTTTTTGGCAATCTAAAAGACGGTTCTACTGAGGAAATGCTCTAGCAACAAGAATCAGCTGATCAACAAGGACATCTGAAATCCTTTGATGAGGGGAGAGATGTATTTAGAAATTATTTTTGTAAGTCATTAAAGGATGAGACATTCTAAAACATTCACTTAAGAACACCCTTACTCAAGTACTTTAAAAACCCTACAGCAGCCTTTATAATTTCACATTCATGTGCATATTAATGTTGACATTATCTGTGCAGACTATTGCACACATTTTATTGTTGCCATTTAAAGGATTCTAATAGGATAACGCCATTGACAGTTTAATCTTTATTAAACTTGATACAAGATGATTCTTTTAGCATAAAAAGTCACACAAAGACATTACAAAAATTATATAGCTATTAACAGATTACAGATAAACTATTTTAAAGAACATTCTCTCTATAATATTGGTCTTTTCTTTACAATTAGAGACCAGAAAAACGAGGGGTTTCTGTCATAATATTTTACTAAATTAGCATTTAAATAATACCTGAGGCACTTTTCAGAGATTATTTAAAGTTATGAACAATTAGCTCACTCAGAGCTAAATCTGAAGAATAAGCCTATGGTATTAACTGTTAGTATTGCTATTATTTGCTTCTAAAATCCGGGTACCCAGAAGCTTACGGAGTCTGTAAACCACTGAAGTCAGCTCCAAGCTTTTCTGTCTACTGTAAAAACTACACTTCTCTCACATTTTTTCACATACAAAAGATTGCCTAAATCTGAATTAAGCCTCACAACATAACTGCAAGACAGGGAGTGCCATTACCCTTTATAAAGAGTAGAAACAAATTGAGGCTTGCTGAAAGGAAGAAGATGCATGAGGTGGACCTCTCCATGGGCTCAGTCATCCCATTTCTTGTTCTGGACTAATACAGCATCTCTCATATTGCTCCAGCACACTGTATTATTTTGATAGTTCTAATGACAATCATAATCACAAAGTAGTTTAAAATCCTGATATTATTCAGAGAGAACAACATGTTTCCATTCACAGGACCTAAACACAGAACAGACAAATTTTAAGAAGAGACCTGTTGTGCTTCAGTTGTTCTTGATAACTCAGTATAAAACTTTTGCTGACTTTAAAGAAAAATCACATTGGACCCGGTCTTGCCAACACACATTAAAATAATCCAAGTCAAATTCTGTTCTACATATATGCACAGCCAATGGGATAGAAATTCTTGCCCCTTATTTCAAAGCCTTCCTGAGGAGAGGAGAACTTTGCAGCTTCCACATCTCACCCTACGTCTAGCTGCTCAGCTAGGGTATTTTGTGCAAGAAATAAATAGAAATAAAAGTATATCACTATAACTAAGGAATCTGCAATGCATTCATGGTCCCAAACGAAAAGCAGATCTGAAAATAATATTAAGTTCCTTGATCAAAATTAAAAAATAATCAGACAAGCTATTGGGATGGATGGAAGAAACCTGTTTTCAGTAGGAAGGATTTTCTTGTTCCTTCTGATGAATAAACCATGAAAAGAAAACACTGACCCACAAGTGTCACAGTTGATCACTATCATATCCCAAAATGGGTCCCAGCCATTTCTCCACCTCTGCCACAGACAAATCTTTTCTCCGTGCATAATCTTCAACCTGCAAAGGGACAACAAAACACAATGAGATTTTTAAATTCCATCTTCTACTGTTTACAAAATTTTTCGGAACATCTGCCCACAAGGTATTTTTGAATGCTGTAACACTACCACAATGGACAACACAAGTTACCTGATCTTTACATATCTTGCCAACTGCAAAATACTTGGATTTGGGACAGGAAAAGTAGAGGCCAGAAACTGCAGAAGCAGGTATCATTGCTAGTGATTCAGTTAAACCAATTCCTAGAAAAGAGAATGAGCATAAATTCAGAACTTTTTTGGGGGGGGTTGTGCATCTTCAAGTAAAACTCAAAAACCAGTTAGCTTTCAGATGAACCAAAACCAAAACTATTTACCACTTGTTAACTAATACACATAGCTTTACATATATCGCAGACTTTTATAATAGTATTACTGTAGAGTAACTACATTTTGAAGAAGATGTTTTTGCAAATGAAATGGGTAACTACAGGTTTTGAAACACAGGAGGGTATTGGAATTGTGGAAGTAGCAGGGAAATGTCTGACACTTAAAATATCAGAGGAAACAAATGGAATTCATTCCTTTTTTTAAGAGTTTCCATCTCAAAGTTTCTGTGCATCAGGAAATATACTGCTGAATTGGCTTTCTTCCTGTTTATATCTGGAATGTTTTCTTACATTCGTAAGGATGCTAGAATTTTTCTCTGTGCAGCAGAACCCTGTTTGCATGCAATCTGCTAATTAGGGACATAACACCTTCATCAAAAGCACTGGCAGTATTTTGCAAATTCTCCCTTGAATGAGGCAAAATAAAACAGGCAATGGAAAGGAGAAGAAAGCAATTCCCAGAAACACTTCCATTTGGTATTTTTAACGTAGATATGCATCACACAATTCACTGCTTTGTTGGCATTTCAATCTTTCATTCGCATAAAAACAGTTTAAGAATCTTAGTAAAGCAGGTACCTGTTGTTTCCTCAATGTTTGCAAGTTTCCACATGGTGAGTTTTTCTGTATGGTCAGGCTGGCTTGGATAGCCAGGGGCAGGGCGAATTCCCTCGTATCTAATTCTACGTAGGTCAGAGAGATCTAGTTGCTCGGTACTACAGTAAGCCCAGAATTCCCTTCGAACCCTTTCATGGAGCTCCTCAGCAAATGCCTTGGAATAGAATGCAAGTAATTTTTTATTATTTCTTTTTCTGATTTGTGCAGACTGTTTGTTGTCATCAAATTGCTATTGCATCAATGACAGAGACTTTTCCCCCATTCATTTTAATTTTTATGGGAGCTCTTACAGAAGAAAAAAAATGAAAGCACTTAAGTTCACATACAATACTTATTTTGCTAATTCAAGTATTACATTTTTTTCTCTTACAGGTAGACTGGTTTATCTGGCTGCCCTGCTTTAAAATCCCACATGCTCAAAGAGGTAAAGATGTTTACAAATAATCACAAAAGATGATGTTTATTAGCCTATGGTGGCAAAACATCATTATAGCACTGAAGTCATTACATCTTGACTACGTGGCTATCTTATCCAGGTCTAGCAAGGAAGGCCACATAATTCTTGCATCCCAGCTAGTACCAGATATAAGTAAGTGCCACTGCTCTTTTCAAGCAAAGGACCTTTCCTCTAGCTGAAAGTGGTCAACAACTTTTCTTAACTTTCTTCTGGAAAAATTTCCACTTCAGTAAATATCTTTAGATGGCATCTAATTTCTGAATTCTAAATAATTTCTGAAACTCTGTTACAGCTTGAAATACACAACTAGAGCTACTCCATTTGCACTGAACTGAAGTTGCTTAAGTTTTAACACTGTTACTTCAGTGTAAGCCTGGGGACAGGCACATGGCCATAGAAGTGTAGGAGGTCAGTTAGAGCTTTAAGAGCATGTCTGTCTAAGCCTAAGACATATTAAGTCAAAAGCCTTGTACCCTGGATACAGTTGCACAGCCACCATTAAAAGCAGAAGGCACGTCTGCAATTCAAGAATATAACCAGTGGTTCACATCTGGGTCCAGACACATTTTCAGGTAGATAAAACAAAATTTAAAGATTGTTCTTTTTAAACAGTCTTACTTTAACATCTACTAAATTCACTCAATCATCAAAACCCTCACAAAGATCTCAAATATGCTTTTGCAGCTGGAAAATATGGACAACAGAGTCCCCCTCCTTGCTCAGAAGAGGATTCTCCTCTCAAGGTAATTTCAGTAGAACCATTTCACTTTCAGATGTAACACAGTACATACATTACAGGCAACCATCTAAGTTCATGCTAAATCTTGAAACAGGTCAAGCAAATCTAGCACAGTCCGAAAATTTGCAAGGAAACACATGATAAAACCTCTTACCTCTGCCAACCGATCACCAAGAGCCTTTACCATTATGACGTTGTATTCATCATCCTGTTTCCTGAATTCATCGCATAACTCATCTACACCAAAGCAGGCCACAGCAAACAGGCCTAAGTAGTCACAAATGCCAGAATCCAGTGGTGCTATGAAGTCAGAGAGGCAGTAATAGGGATCTGTGCAGGCAGAGTCCTTTTCAGCCTGAAGGAACAAAAACAACGCAATATATTAGAACATTTAAATAATATATTAAGTATTAGTGCATCATTACTCTAAAGACCTAGCACATCATTATTCTGAAGACCAGTATTTTTAAGACTAAAGGGCTTAAGGCATTTCTGACAAATACCTAACTAGTCTTTGAGCCATGACAGCCTTCTTGTACTTGAATTTGGAGAAAAACACCTCTCTCGTTCTGAGGGTGTTCGGATCACTGAAGAATAAAATGTCAAAAAAGACAGATGCTGTGCTGAATACACATAGATGTTTTGTTTTTATTTACAGCTAATAAGATCCAATGGGTTATTCTGCAGACAAATTATTACAAAAGAAGGAACACTCTTTTGCCCACCAGTGGGTAAGAGGAATTTTTTCATCTCTAGCACTCACAGATTCCACACTTTTTAGCAAAACTGATGGCTGATAGTTCACATCCCAGTTATGCAAGCTGCAGAACTCTTCAGCAACTCCCATTTTAGAATTACTGTGACAGTTTATAAACGCTCCTAGTTTCTCACGCTACAAACCACATACACGGGCAAAACAGTACCCCAAGATGTAGGTTTACGCTACCCACACACAAATACAAACAAAATGCACCTATTGCTACTGAAAAGCTGAATCCCAAGCAAAGTTCGAATAGGTTTACACAGATAGGAAATACCCTGCTTACCGGATCCTTTTCCAAACTAGAGACTGAATGCCGGCCATAGCACCTAATAATAAGTTGTACATTTGAGGATCATATCAGTATATTCATTGTAGGAACATGAATGCTATTTAAAATGTGGCACAGCTCTTGTAAATCCAACCAACTCACAGAGAGAGTAAAGCTTTTCCACGGCTCTCACTTAGTTGAAAATTCCCTTCAAGTTTTCCTATTCTGTGACAGTATTTTAACAATGCCTTCCACCCACTCTCAAATGCAGTTTTTAAAAAAATGAATAAAACACCACCACCACCACTCCCAAAAAACCTCAAGGAAATAAACAACAAAGGTCAAATGTTTCTCTAGATTTTATAATCTACTAGGTTACAGAAAATATCATAAAACTGACAAAATAATCTTTTTTCCACACAGGTGAATTCATTGTTAATTTTAGAGTTCTTTTGTAATGATTATAGTTAAGAAAAACACTAAATGCATTCCCAAATTTTTAATTTGCATCACATCCTTAAAATTGTCAATGTCATGGAGAGAACACTGTGTACTGAAAAGCACAGGAGACAATTATTCTCTACTCTGCTCTGATGAATCCTCTACAGAATTACCACATGCATCAAATTGAAAGAGATGCAGCTAAAATACGTGGAGTCCAGAAAAACAGTATCCACAGTAGCACAGTTTCATGGCCTTAACTTTTGAGAGAAGCCTGAATAAACAGGGAAAATCCAAGATAAAAAGACTGAGGAAAACAATAGTATTCCAATAGTAAAAACCATTACAAGTACATCAAATCAGATTGGGAGAACCTCGGGAAAAGGCCAGGAAAAGAAACTGTAGTAAAGCTGATTTACATGGGCTATCAAAATGTTTAACTAGATAGTAAAGCCCAGAAAGAGCCCTGCCTGAATGCCTCTGAGAACAGATCTGCCACAGATTGTTAGGATATACTAGATCCATCTCCACGCAACAGATAATCTGTTTCAGGGAACTGGAACAGATAAAGTCATGTATTTATCAGCACATTGCTGCAGTATCAGCACAGGACAGTCCTCATAGAATACTGTACTCTAGAAATGTAGGTAGTTGTTAAATTTGTTTCTGCTGTGTTTGATGTCTCTGAATATGTGAACAACAAGTCACAAGGGTAGGGAAAAAGAAGAGGCAGTATATCCTGAAAACGCTCAATCTATCAAAATAAATTCAAACCGAGCTATGTATGATTCAAGCATGAATACTTAATGATTCCCTCTATCAAAATTAGCAGACAACTAATTCTAAACTGCCTCTTCATATGGGGAATTCTATATAAAAATTAAGACTACCAAAACCACTTATCTCCACCGAGCTTTGTTTTCCAGGTATTGTAATTATACTTGTTTTTAATCTTTAATGCATTCAAGCAGAATTTCACAACTAAGGCAGAACTTAGTGATATTAGAGAATTAAGGTTCGTTAGGTTTCAATTTAGCACGTAGGATCCTTATACAGCACAGTGCTGTACAAGATCTTAACTACTAAAATGAAAACAGAAAGTGCACGTCGTATCTGAAGATATCAAATCTATAAAGCATTTCATACAACTCCTACAATGCAAAATACTACCGATGATACAACACAAATACCAAGGTGATCGCTGACAAGATCTTGTTACTACTGAAATATATGCCAAGACAATGGCTGCAGACTGATTACAAAAAAACATTTTCCACACAGCTTTTAATAGAGCATTTCTGTTACATTCTTGTAATTCACAAAAAAGAAAGAAATCACTTTATTTAACAAATATTCTGTCATTGTACCTGTTGCCTTAAGCCATAAAATTTTGCAATTGGTTCAGAAGATCCCACTGCCTCTTCTACAGCATATAAATGGATATCATCTTGAACACTTTGAGCTGGCCAGAACCCCACCACGCCTCTGGCTTGTAATTTCTTTTGATTAATCAACATTTTCAGTAGATTTTGAGCATCATTATAAACTCTCTTTGCTTCTTCACCTATTGAAAAAAGAGAATCTTTTAGAAAAGGCATGCTTTCGCAACTGCATTAAAGATTAAATGGGTTTAAGAATTGCTGAAGATTCATTCATTTTCTATATCATTCTCTGATGACTGCAACAATCTATCAGCTTCAGCAAATGGAGAGATAGCAGTGTGATTATGTCTATACAGTGGTAACAACATGTATCTTGAGAAAAAATAAAATGATTCAGCCAGCACCATTCTAGTGAAGGCAGAGGACACAGAATAAAATGCGCAACGGAGAACACGTGCGCACTTACATTACCCCAGTGCAGCAGACCCGGAACACTGATGTCAGTGTCACCCTTGCATTTCCATCATGTATTTCAAGACTTACAGAATAATTTCAAAAGGAGACGGAGCCCTCTTGCCATCTTCACACATAACAAGGCCACAGATACATTAAGTGCTCTGCTGCCATTTTCTGTCATCGAAATGTGTGTTTTGGCAGGTGAATTCTAAAATAGATGATTGAGCAATTTTTCCTATTTGTTTTTCAGCCTCACATGCTGTTGTGGTTTAACCCCAGCCAGCAACTAAGCACCACGCAGATGCTCACTCACTCCTCCCCATTCCTGGTGGGATGGGGAGGAGAATCAAAAAAAGGAAGTAAAACTTGTAGGTTGAGACAAGAACAGTTGAATAACTAAAATAAAATATTATAATAAGTATAATAAATTAGTTATTCTTGTTGTTATTATTATTATTTATTATTATTACTGTAATGAAAAGGAAGATAACAAAAAGGGAGAGAAATAAAACCCAAGAAAAGACAAGCAATGCACAATGCAATTGTTCACGACCCATTGACCCATGCTCGAGCAGCGATCCGCCCTCACCCCACAGCCAACTCCCTCTAGTTTATATACTGAACATTGTGTTCTGTGTGGGAAACCCCTTTGGCTATTTTGGGTCAGTTATCCAGGCCATGCTCCCTCTCAGCTTCTTGTGCACCTGCTTGCTGGCAGAGCATGGGAAACTGAAAAATTCTTGACTTAGGATGTAACGCTATGTAATGATAATTAAAGCACGAATGTCGTATCAACGTTATTTCTCACACTAAATCCAAAACATAGCACTGAATCAGCTGCTAGGAAGTACATTAGCGCTATCCCTGTTGAAACCAGGACACGTCAACACCTGATTCACTAAGTGTTGCTTTAAGCAAAATGTTTCAGTGACACTTGGTTTCCACATATTTTCACTATTCCTATGTATTTCTTAATGTTCTGAGCCTTAATGCAACATGGCAGGTCTGTTAGGATTATTCCCATGAAGTAAATGTATTTTCAATACTCACCTACAGTTTTATCATTAAAGAGTTTAGGGAAACCCCGGTTGGGATACTTTCCCCTAAGTTGCCAGACATCAAAGAAAGGCTTCCAGTCAATGTATTCTACCAGCCTCTTCAGGTCATAATCTTCAAAGACTTTTGTGCCAATGAATTTTGGTTTAACTGTAGGAATCAGAAGCACAATCTGACATGATGAAAATAATTTAATATTGCTCTTGTATGTGCAGCATAACTGATGTTCACCAGTCTCTACCCCTGCAAATGACCTCTTTCAAAGCAACTGTCTTAGAATTCTCACTGTTGTATTGTTCCCAAGTCATACCATACTCTTTGGTTACAGTATGATTAAAAAAAGCCTAGAAAGTCCACAAAGTTGAAACAGAAAATTTAAAGTCTTTTGTTCTTTTATATAAATCAACACTTATTAGCTGTTAGACTTCTCAATTTATTTTATTGGCCAAAATATTGGCCAAAACAAAAGACCAAAAAAAACCTACACAGTTTATCAATATCTAACATATTCTATGGGTGTATAACTTTCATATTTATGTATATAATATATATAATATTACATGCTACAGTACTCTAGACTAGTTCTGTAAATTACTACATGATTTATAAGAACTTTGCAATCACCATACACTTGCTCAGATGCATGTGCACAAGTGAAAAAGTGAGATGGATGTACGTTATAACGTAGGCACATGCTTTGCACTTGTTTTGTCTGTGCTATCCAATACTTTAAAACACAAGCTTTATAAGCTCTATAAGCTCTAGAAAATTACCATCTTGTTGAGTTTTGTCAATGAAATGACAGAAAGCAGTGAAGTGTTAACATCACTGTAGGATGCAGCTTGTTCTGGAATGATCTTTATACTACTAGTCTCTAATTAAAAAAAATATCAGAACAAACTGGTATGGAAATTGATGTGTAGGAAAAAATGTAAGGAGGAATTTGGTACAAATGCCATGTTACAACGTGTTCCCTAAATATGGTATAGTAAGCTTTGCAGTGCAACAAGCCAGGTCGACATTATTTTGCAAAGCAGGCATTAGACTTATCTTACGGTGTTATAGATAACTGATTGCTATAGGATTTTTTTCTCAATTTTTTCATTAACTATTAATTTATTTTTAAATACACTGTTGAAAAATAGAAAGCAGAAATAGAACACTCAAACTTGTGGAAAAAAAAATCTCTGTTCAGATACCAATTTACTCAAGTTGTCACACTATTATACTCTGAATTTGAATGAAACATAATCTAAACATAGCATATATAAAATAAAAACATAAAATAAAGACACGGCAACAACAAATAACATTTAAACTTACCTGGTTTATGGCCTGATAACCAGTCATTATGGAAACCTTTTTTTCTAGCTTGTTGTAGAGACAAGTATCTTCTTTCCTGTACAGACATAAATGTTAATTTCACAAAGTTAGCCATCTTTCAGACAGATTAACTGTAACTGTTGACTTGGTGGTAGAGTTTTACTCAGTCTTCAGGACAAAACTGACAACAGACAATTTCAGTTCCAATAATTCCCAGTTCATGAGTGTAAAGTAAGATTATATTACATCCACACCATTATTTTTTCCTGTGTATCTCTAATGAAACTGGCCTACAAGATTTCTAGCTCCTCTGACCTGCACCACCAGTTTCTTTATTACTTCAAAATACATGAAAGTACAGATACAGCAAGATATTCTCCCACTTGCTGCAAAAAGCTTAGGATTGCAGTGACATCACCACCAGTGACCGCAGCATGCTTCTGGGAAAATCACCAGCCCTTCTGAAAGGCACAGGTAATCCACAGCAGGTTCAGTAAGGCCCTTGCATTCTCTGCTGACCTCTCCTTAAAGTAGGTGCTGCACCCACTCACCTCAGCTTAGTGGGCTGGTCCCCTGTGCAAAGATAGTCTTAAACTTAGTCAAGTCAAATGTCTTTAGCAGGAAGCCTCAAGCTTTACCCTTCTTCATCAAGAGACCAGGTAGATGACTTTCAGCTTGCTTCCTGTCTATTTACAACGATGGCCTCAGAGGAGTCATACACTGCTTCCTGCTGTTAATTTGCAGAGCCCATCTCCACATTTCACTGTTTCCTTCTCTTCACTGTCCTAAAATGGCAGCCTTGGCCCTCTACTTTGAGACTGCCCAGATCCCTAACCTAAACAACAGGAACACGTAAGGAAAGCGTGGTGATGTAAAATACACAACAGAGTGTGGCTTAGTACCTGCAAAAACAACTGGTGCCATTCTAATTATCTCTGTTTCCAGCTGCTGCTCCAGGAGAGCATCAGTCTCCCGTAGGTTGGTTAAGCTGATGTGACTGCCAGCTCCATGGAAATGTCCTAGATACCACTGATTTCCCATTGAGGACAATCAAGAATTTGCCAAGCATGTGTCAGACTCACACAAAATTTTCCCTTATAGGTTAGAAAATTTGATTTCATAAGCACTTCTTGAGGTTTTCTCTCAATTCCACTGCGTGGTTAAAATCAGAACCAATATACCTGAAGGTTTTCATAAGATGCTGAAACAGAGTTAATAATGAGGCAAGTACCAACCACTTCAAACGAGAAAAGGAGCTAAATCAATTACATTTGTACCTTGAGAGACTCATAGTGTTCTTGCCTAATTTCTTCATATTCCTCTAATATTTCTTCAAAGAAATCATCCTTTAGACTTTCATCTAAGAGCTGGGAGCACTGAAAAAAGGAAAGTGAAAGCACTAAATATAGACTGTAACATACTATGGTAAGGACAGAGTATCAAGTTGAGATATAGTGACAAAGGACGAGGATAAGGCTGAGGTGCTTAATGCCGTCTTGGCTTCAGTCTTTAACAATAGAAACACCTGTACTGAGGGAAGCCGGCCCCCCAAGCCAAGAGATGACAGCTAGGAGCAAAACGCTCCTCCCACAATCCAGGAGATGGTCAGGGACCTGCTGCTCCAGATCAATGTCCACAAATACATGGGGCCAGACTGGGTACATTCTAGAGTACTGAAAGAGCTGGCAGAGGTTTTCACCAAGCCACTGTCCATCACTTATCAGCAGTCCTGGCAATCTGGGGAGGTCCCAGCTGACTGGAAGTCAGCCAATATAACACTCATCTATAGAAGGGATGGAAGGATGATCCAGGAAATTATAGGCCTGTTAGCTTGACCTCAGTTCCAGGGAAGCTGCTGGAGCAGATCATCCTGAGTTCCATTATGCAGCACATGCAGGACCATCAGGTGATCAGACCCTGCCTGCATGGGTTTGTGAAGGACAGGTCCTGTTTAACAAACCTCATCTGCCAGGCAGAGAGGGACCTGGGGGTGTGGATGGACAGCCGGCTGAACAGGAGCCAGCAGTGTGCCCAATGCCATCCTGGCCTGTATCAGGAATAGTGTTGCCAGCAAGCGCAGGGAGGTGATCACTCCCTTTTACTCAGCTTCGGTGAGGCCGCACCTCAAGTACTGTGTCCACTTTTGGGCCTCTCACAACAAGAGGGACATTGAGGTGCTGGAGAGGGTACAGAGACAGGCTACCCAAGCTAGTGAAGGATTTGGAGCATGTGTTGTATGCGGAATGGCTGAAGGATCTGGGGCTCTTTAGCCTAGAGAAGAGAAGGTTGAGGGGAGACCTTATCGCTCTCTACAACTACTTGAAAGGAGGTTGTAGCGAGGCAGGGTCTGTTCTCCCTAGTGGCGAGTGATAGGACAAGGGCAAATGGCCTTAAGTCACACCACGGGAGATTCAGATTGGATATTAGGAAGAATTTCTTTGCTGAGAGGGTTGTCAGGCATTGGAACAGGGTACCCAGGGAAGTGGCTGAGTCGCCATCCCTGGAGGTGTTTAAGAGACAAGTAGATATTGCCTTGAAGGACATGGTTTAGTGGTGTTGATAGGGCTAGGAAAATGTTGGACTCGATGATCTTGAAGGTCTCTTCCAGTCAAAACTGTTCTATGATTCTAAGCTATCTGTCTTCAGACTCACTTTTCCAGTAACACTTGACAATACTAAACTAAGCCCTACCGCTAATCTGCAAACTAGATTGAGAACATATTTAAGAACATGATTATTACTGAGAGCGCTGCCCTAGTACACACATAGTATTAGCAGAGCTAAGAGTGGCTCTGGGAAGATCTGAGAGGAGAATGGTCAAAGCCTTTAGAGACTGAATCACTGTATAAACAACACACAATTTGGCCTACTTCTTTCAAGCAGGTATCTGCCATTTACAACCACTTATTTGTCTGAGAGCATCCATCCCAGAAAACTCCAGCCTCATGTTTTATCGTACTAATCTTGCCCTATCACTAACTTCAGAAACACACCCAAAATAGAGAGAAGAGCAGCTCACATCCAATGCTGCTGCTCTTCTCTATAAAACATCTCAAAACTACAGCTAAGGACTCGGAGTGAATCATGTCACCATTCTCACCAGAGAATGGGGAATTTAAATGAAGGTATCCAGTGACAATAGTTGATGTAAGTCAGACGAGATAACCAGGTGGCAATAAAAAAAATAACTTAAACAATAGTAGTTTAGAAACTAGGCTCTGCCGTGTCTCTTTAATCTTCTGCATAGCATTAAGCTCAGAGGAAAGGATGAGAGGCACAACAGAAAAATAGGGCATATATTTTTGTATGGATGAAAAACTATAATTTAGAACTTACAACGACAACACTCTTGGATGCATCCAGGACATGAATTACAGGTGCACTATATCGTGGGGCAATTTTTACAGCTGTGTGTGTTCTTCAATGAAAAAGAAAAAGAGTGAGCATTTTGCAACTGAAACAAACAAACCAACAACCCCAAAAAAACAAAAACAGACAAACCCCTCAGCAACATAAATTCCAACTTAATGCATAGACCAGAACTTCAAAAGAAGAAAGCAATTTATCAATCTGCTGCACATGAATGATTTAACACAGATTTTAATAATAGGTGCATAAACACTTCAAAGGGCATCAGAATGCTTCATAAATAAGGTGCCAACTCGTATTCCTTCACCGACTTACCAGCCGACTGAAAATCAGCAGCTCATTAGTTTAAGCCTCAGAAAACTGTGAGAATCTTCCAAACTAAGCCTACCAAGAACTACGGGCTTTTTTCAGCACTTTTGCTAATCTTGTGTTTTTCCCTTGCACATGTGAGTTTCTGGGTCTATAGACTGTGGGTCTAACATATTTCAGTAATGACTATTCCATTTCTACAATGCTCTACTTGAAAGACAATCTTTTTAGCAGGGCCTATTCTGAGAGGACAAGGGATGATGGTTTTAAAATAAAAAAGGGTAGATTCAGACTAGAATTATACATATATTCTTCCATAATTATACATATATTATTCAATAATTTTAACATTCAGCTAGTGCTGTCTCGTTGTTGGCTACATTAATCTCCATGAATAAATTCTACAAAATTGTTTGATGATGGTTATTTGACATCAATTACTAGGCCACAACACCCTGTGTACAAACACTAAAAATATCTGAAGAAAGGGCTCTCTTAGAACATCTACTTAGATAAAAGTGGCGCATTTTTATTTTTTAAGAAATATCCTCCGTGTTTGTTCTCAGGATCTCAGTATCAAAGAGACTCATATGGATAAGAAGAAAAAGGATACAGTTAACCTTGCATTATAACTACAGGACCAATAAAGATAGGGAGTGACGCAACTCCTCACTGTCTGCCAAACTATGAGATGATTTGCTAAGGCGTAAAATACAGAATAAAATGGTTCTGCTACAATATGTGCTGCTCTGATAAAGAAAGCAACACTACTAACAGCTTCTAGTGATGCAAGAAATTACCTCTGCAGTCTAGTGAGCTGTCACCTACTCAAGCATATTGTACATAAATCAGTTAGCAACGTGCGATCCAAGGCTTTTACCTGTTCCCAAAACACATTTGTGGTAACATTAATACTAGGTGTCAGTGACCTCTCAACACTGCTCTTGAGGACATCATAGCAGCTGTATTATTTCATTTGAATGGATCCAAGAGAACAAGATCTCTCAACTGAAAAGCTCTATCAAAAAGATCTATCAAAAGCAACATGGTAACTACTGCAAGGCAAGCAGCTACAATTTATCCCCTATGATCCCGCCTGAACAACTAGGGTAGCAACCCAGTCAGCACAGTGCTGAACAGTGATCCAGGAAAATACATCAACTTTTTTAAAGGTAATAGCTCCCTGATGTCAACAAGATCATTTCTAGTCTTAAGTTCCTACATTTTCAGAATGCTCTAGTGAATCAAACCAGACCATTCAACCTTTTAAGAGAACAGAACTGTATTTAGATGCATATGTGCACAAACTCCTAGAAGTACTTCCACATTAAAAAAATGTGTAAAACACTTAACACTTGCAAAATTAAATGTTTAAGGTGTCCATTATTTGCTGTGTCCCAATTAAATTTTACCTCTATGTTCTCAGACTTTTCATCTACAAAATAACATTCAATCTTGAGTAAATACACATCAGTATGTGTGTTGGCAGAAAATGAGGGAAAGGGAGAGAAACGGCTATAAATTTTCTTTTTCCCTAACGTTATTTTCATACACATTCCCCATCTTCCCAACCGAGATATCTTACTTAGAAGTAGTTGCTCCTCCAATCAGCAAAGGAATCTTTATTGCCAATCTCTCCATTTCCTTGGCGACAAAAATCATTTCATCCAAAGAAGGAGTGATGAGACCAGACAGGCCAATTATATCTATTGCAAATTTACAAACACACATACACAAAAGATTTAGCAAGTCCACTTTAGAAAGACATAGAAGTTATTACAGAAAGGTTTCGTCCATACATCAGACAGCTTCACACGTCAAATAGAAAATAGTGAGAAAAAAGCAACGTAGTCACTAGTCTAGAAATAGGTTTGACCTAATTAGAAAGTGAAAGAGCTTTCCAAGAATGAAAATGATTCCAAACCCCTAGTTTAAGATATTTCTCAGTTTTCACAACTGCTGAGCACCTACTGCTCTAATTTCAGCAATAAATACACAGCACTTCTGATTAGCAAGCTCCAAAGCTCATAAGTTCGTCACTGAGGAGCGAAATAAGAGAAAATAATTATAAACTCTGCTCTTAGAAACAGCAAATGCTTTCAAACTTCACCCTCTACGTTTCACACAATTCATCTTTTCCAAGATGCAACGGACTGTTTCAAAGCAACTGCAACTTGTTTCAGAAAGTTCATTATTTATTAGAACAATTCACTCCTGATTTTACACCCAATGACCTGGCACACTGAATTCCAAGTTCTTCTACTGATTTAAGACCTAACATGAAGTTATTTAATCTTTCCAAGTATCCATTTACCCTCACGTAAAACAAAAACTAAAACATCTCTCTCGGAGTTGTCATTCTGATACAGGTCTAAGTTTCAGAGAACTGCCAAATACTAAGTAATTACTATTGTTAATGCAAAAGTTCTGATTTATCTGAAGATAGTCTGACAAATTATAGACAGCATAGGAATGTGATGACTAGCAATAAAAAAAAAAACAAACACCAAACCAAAAATGAATGACGTTTAAAATCAAACAATTCGGGAGTACTAATGAAATCTCTCTATACCTGCTTTGTTCTCAACAGCAGCTCTCAATATCTTATCACATGGAGTCATGACTCCTAAATCAATAACTCTGTGAAAAGAAGTGAGATGACACAAGATTTTTTTAAAAAACAGGTCAAATTTCTGTGAAGGGGCAAATACATTGCTCTTACTGTAAATGACTGACCTAAAACTGAAGTTAGAATTGAGATTTTCATTTACTTGTGTGTTTCTCTTAAGATTTCTGCTGGGAAATTTTATATAGGAAATACCTCTGAGTCTGGCAAAATTTTTAACAGAGTGTCCCAGATGATGCAGTATATAAAAAACATTAGTATAAGAAGTGCTTTTTTGTAAAATACTTTTTTTGCTGGTTTTACTGAGTCTGGATGAGACAGAGTTAACTTTCTTCATAGCAGCTAGTATGGTGCTGTGTTTTAGATCTACAACAAAAATAGTGTTGATAACAGGCCAATATCTTTAACTGTTGATGAATAGTGTTTGTCCAGTATCAAGGCCTTCTCTGTTTCGCTCTGTAACACGTCAGGGAATAGACTGGAAGGAGCCCAAGAGGTTGGGAGCAGACACAGCCAGATGACCTAAACTAACCAAAGAAATATTCCACAGCATAAGATGTCATCCTCAGCAATCAAAAAGGGAGAGGAAGGGGTTTAGCGGTGGTTAGCCACCTTTTGTTCAGGAACTGGCTAGGCATCACTCTGTATTTGGCAGGTGGAGAGCAATTGCCTTGGCATCGCTTGCTTGGGTTTTTTGACCTGTCTTTCACTTACCAATCATTTTTATCACCACTCACAATTCTTCTTGGTTTTTTTTCTTTCTTTCCTCTTTCCCCATCCCACTGAGGTTGCCTGGGTGGAAGTGAGTGAATGGCTACGTGGTGCTTAGCTGCCTGCCAGGGTTAACCAACACCAGTGGCATTTCTGAAGTTACTTGGACAATATGGGAAGATTTTGTTGACATCCTATCTTATGTCAGGAATACAAGATGATTCACATCAAGGCTTTTTTGTCTTACTAAAGCACACATTTTATGAAATGAGACACTGCGCTTCCCTTGCTACCACTGTATTCCTGTTAACCCTTGCCACTGCCAAGGTTTTTATGTTTTTCAGGGAAGCCAATCCAGCCTGCTAGTTTCCTTCAGCCTCACTCATACTCATGGTGACAGAAAACACTATGGCTTCAGTTCAGAGAGTCGAAATAAGGCTCAAGAAAGCCTGAAAACAATCAACAGAATTTCAAAATATAACAAAACAGAATATAGTGCATACACACAGGACTGCTACTGACTTGAACCCTGTGTGTTTTAAAATGAAGAGATTGTTTTGGCTCTTTTTAGGGCAAATTACAGCCCCAAGTCAAATACAAAACTAAAGGAATGAACTGTAAGAAAGGGTTCCAAAGCAGATTCAAGCAGATTCAAGCAGATTCAAGCAACATTTGACAAACATCTGACCAGGGGCTCTGATGGAAAGTGACCGTTCATTCCAATACTGTTGCCAGCCCTGTTGCATGTACACGGGCCTTGAAAGAGCTGACTTGACTTGAAGTTGTCTTTTGAAGCTCAGAAACAGGATAAGAATCTCATCTCTTATTTAACAAAACACACCCCAGCAAGTTTTTTTAAACTTTGTAGTTAACAAACAGCTTGAAAAACACATTAAAAGCTTCACTTGAATCTTACAAGACTTCCTTTTTCCCAAAATAACATACAAATCATAGTCTTGTCTACCACAATTGTCATATCTGATTTCTTCAGATATTTTACTTACATGTTTGAGACATTAACTAATATAAAACAAAGCAAAAAATTATGCCTTTATCTATGTTTCAGCTGATGTTAAACTGTCAAATGCCAATTTATTAGGAAAAACGTATTAAAAGAGGAAGGTATACTCCTCCTTGCCTCTCCCCATTAGCAATAGCTGGTATGATATGTGTTCCCAACCACAACGTGGGGAACAGAGGATGGTTCCCAAGAAATGCCCACCTCTTACCCCCACAGCTCCATCTAGCCTAATGTATGAATCAGCTAGCATGATACAGTTGTGCTCCCAGCTACCGAATGTTAGCCTCTTTACCTGAAGTTGTTGCAGCCCAGAACGACTCCTACAATGTTCTTGCCAATATCATGTACATCTCCTTTCACAGTTGCTAGCACTATTGTACCATGATAAGGATCCTGAAAGTCGAATAAATAACATAAGAGTTAAATTACACAGAAGCCTGAGTCTGTTTGCACAGACCCTTCAAAAGTGCAATTCTAATCCATGACCGAGACTCCTACTCTAGTATAAGCAATTGCAAAGTGTAGCAGAGGTAATATAAGTCAATAGTAGAAACTATTTTAAAAGATTCAGATAATAAAAACTTGCATGAGAATTATTCTTGCAAATTCTGCACATTACTAAAAAAAAAAATCTGTGTTAAAAAAACAAAATAGCAGATAAAAAAATTCCAATTTGGATAGCATTTTGGGCAGTGTGATAACTGAACTCCTAAGGTACCTCTGCTCCAAATAGAAACCTCACCAACAGGGAGTTCAAATAGATTAAGTATTTAGGACAAAAGGGTATGAACACTCATAATTACACGCCTGCTTGTGTATCAAGAACAATCTTTCAATGCAATGCTGAGAAGAATGAAAGGAATTAGCAAAAGAAGAGACTAACTTGTTATGCAAGACAAATAGCAAGGGAGACGTTTCAGTGCAGTGATCAGGCTACTTCAGACTGCCTGAGCTGAACAACCAGGCTGGAAAAAGGATCTCCTTGAAGAAGGGAAGCTGTACTGTCACAAACTGGTTCTAGGCGAGACGGTATTCAGCCCTGGCAAAGGGGACCTACCAGCAGGGCAACAGTGGAACCTCCTATAGGAATTCTCCACCAAGACACAGGCCTTTGCGACACATTTTAAAGTGTATCATCAACGTTGTCATTTGGAGCAGCTCCAGGCTCCCGCAGTGCCAGGTCTGAGTTGCTGCAGGATCAGATACCAGTAACACACCATTTAAATTGCACTGAATTTAAATAAAGTGGAAACCTGAGCATATTCTGTATGAAATTGCAAAATATTTTTTCTGTCAGTATCTCATCTCCTTTGCAAATGGCAGAACTAGAAGATTAGATCCTTCTATGAAGCATATTTCTGGACAGTATCAAGTAGCTCTCTAGTTCATGAATGTACATTGCCTTCTGTAGTTGCAATTTTCTGGGTGAAAAAGACTAGATATATTATCAAGAGTGATACTAGCATTTCCCACGGTCCTAACACATTTGTTGAACTAAATCCCTGAATCCCCACCAATGCTGCTGTTTACTAAAATCTATTATCCCCACAGCACTCCTGTTTAAATGAAGACCGGGGAACAGAGAAGGCAAAATGGAGGTCTGCAAGTCAGCCATCTCAATATGTCAAAAAACATATCTGCAGCTGAAAATACACTGCTGGACCATAAGAGAAAACCGGGGAAAGAGATTAATCAAGGACTGAAGGAAGAACAAAAAGTGCTGCCCACAGGTATCACACTCATTAGCTACTGATGACTTAACTAGTGATTGTTATCCAAGGGAAAAAAATGGGTTTGCACATGAGAATAAGGAAAATTTGTGCTGGGCAGTAAACAACATGGGCCAGAGCACAAGCCATTTTAATTAAACCCTATTTAGGGCACACTGTGATTTCAATTGTCTCAAGCAAGGAGGTCCTCAAGTTCTGGGCAAACATCCAAAGACCTTCTTTTTTTTAATCTTAATAGAGATCCACAGCCACAGCTATTTATCTTGAAATGTAACCATTAACACTTTGCATTTCCTGGCAGTCTGTGACTAAAACTGTCATGGAGGTTTTACAGCAGCCTGGGTAACATCAGACAGATAAGCTACCAGTCTGCAAATCACCTTCCTTCAGATCAACATCTGACTTTGGAGATAGATGCAGCTGTTTTGAACTCTCACGAATTCTCTATACACTGACAACGTTTTTTTGAAGAAGATGGCAGCACGACATCCCTTGCTCAGCAGAAGGCAGAAGCCCTACTTTTTCCCTCCTGCTCTTTTCAGTCACACAGTCTCTTCGGAGTGTTTGCTGTACTTTTAAGAACTTCTCAAATTCCACTTCTTTTTAGCCAGAGGATTAAGTGCCAGAGGGTTCACAGTAGATCCTACTCCAGTGTTCATGGAGGCATTGGGGTAATGATTTTAACTGACTTCAAATAGCATCAGAACAAACCAGAAGGTGCCAAATAGTGGCACTGTCACCTGAATTAAAATAAAAAAGAACAGCATGAGCAGAAGAGAGATGACACATAGAAAGGTGACTCATGACAGCCAGAGAACAGATCTGCTTGAGATACTGGAGAGAAGACACCTTCTTCACATCCAGAAAGAGCTTGGGAAGAGAGACTAGGGATTCTCCTTCTTCTGTCAGGATTAGCAGGGCATTTTTCTTAGTGTCTTTATTTGCTGTATTCATTATATTTATGCTGGACCAACACACAATAGATCCACAACACCACTCAAAAATCCACAGAAGGGAAACTAAGTGTCATAGTTCAGAGAAATTTTGTTATTCTTCCTTTTTTTCCTGTGCTAAATACCAGATTCTGATTAATAGCTATTGCATCTGAGAATTCATGAAGACAAGGTAAGGTTCCAAAAAACTGAAGAAAAGTAAACGTACAACAAATCTAAATTTTATAGTCAGACAAAGACAAGAGAAGAAAAATAATTAACAACCAAAACTATAATCACTTATCACATATATATCATATATATAGTAGGAAACAGCAGACATGAGTATTTAAATGGAATTTTTTCCAGTTCATCTGAACTCTCTTTCTACTGAACAGAATCTTGTCAGTATGGAAAAACAAAGGGCATCCTATATCTTCACTTTCCAATGCTGCTATCACATATTCCATTAAGGAAGTTTGGAAGAAATTAAGTCAAGTAAACGCACAAGTAGTTGATAAAACTCTGCTCCAGCATCACCACCTCTGGCTGTGAAACAGAAAAAGGAAAGACTGTAAAGGAAAGAGTCACAAGTATCTGAAAATCATTGGATATTTTCAATTACATATATTTTATATATTATATAAAGAGCAGTCTTCAGATACTGGTGGGAAAACACACAGATGAAGAGAAAACTATATTCAGACCTTGTTTTCATAAACAATTGTCCCCTGCAAAATGGCCATGGCTGCACATGCAATGAGTATACTATTCTATCATAAAAATCTTGGAAGTCATAATCTATGAAGAAAAAGGATGGAAGAGTTTGGGTTTTTTAGCTGTGAGAACAGTTAGGGCTAGGAGGAAGTAAAGAGTTTAAGAAGAGAAAAATGGTAACAGCCTCTTAAGGTGCAAAAGGGAGTTCTAGAGTTCACTGAGGGCAGAAGTAGTAGAAACAAATGGCAAAATTTCCATGAAGTTTAAAGTACCATAAATAAATAACAGTAGAATTAACTGCCTACAAAAATAAAAGAAATAAGTAACACTGGTACAAAGGGCCTACATAGGTTTATGTCATTGTTTAGTAAATTTGTGACAACAGCTTAGGCATACACCAAAGTTCCACAAAATCTGCACTTAATGACTTTCAGACCTACTTCAAATTATGCCAAGACTATCAGTTTCCATATGACTGCATCGAAGCTGCATGAAAGCTGAATACATATCACCAGCAAAAGATAATTTCTATTTTTGTTATGGCATGCTATGAAAGAGTTACAGCACAAAGGACTGTGTCTTGCCTCTTCCTCTATGCTGCCTCGTTTGGCTCTCCTCTCCTCTCTTTCTTTTTCCATATAGGGAATAAGGTGGCCAACTGCTTTCTTCATAACTCGAGCAGACTTTATCACCTGCATAGAAATAGAGGCAAGGGAAATAAACTATAAAAGATCAGGTATAGAGGAAGAGTCTCGGATTTCTCTCAGCTTTCTTTTATACCTAACACAAACAACAAACAAAACTTCATTTGAAAACGTGGATTCCAGCTTTGCAGAGTGTTCTGTGGTAGGTCTAGGCATGACATTTGCTTTCACAGCGCAACCTCTCAGACCACTCCAGCTACAAACAGGCCTAGGCTTGGAACATGCTAAACACAGTTATTTTTATTTGGGTCTTCTTTCTCTCTTGTTCTTTCTCACAGACCCAGACTTAAAACTGCACTTCAAACAAAGCAAAAAAACCTCAGGAAGAAAGGAAATAAACATGTAAATCTACATAAAGAAAGTTCCAAAATAAAGGAAAAAACAGGGCTGCTTCTTAGAAGCTTCTTAGAATGTTTTGGCTACATTTAAAAATGCTAGTTTTTGCAAAATAGGAAAATGCATGAAATCATTTTCTCATTACCTGAGGCAGAAACATCTTTCCAGCACCAAAAAGATCACCAACTATTTTCATGCCATTCATCAAAGGCCCTTCAATCACATTTAGAGGTCTAGGATACTTTTCCTGATTTAATCTTGCTTCTTCTGTATCTTCAGTGACATACTTCTCAACACCCTGGGGCGGGGGGGGAGAGTGGGGGCGGAAAGAGAGGTTTTTATTTTACTAGAAATACAGTTTTTATTTAGTTGCCTTGTCCCTCCCCCCCAAAAAAAATCACAATGCAAGTACAATCAGATACTTTATATACCTCAGATGTGTATTTAAACTAGGTTTTCTTAGTAAACAAAACACTATAGTTCTTTGGTATACAAAGTTATTCAAAGCAAGAGTCCACAGTATTAACAGGTTTGTTTCTTTTCTTAACCATGTCATAAGGAAAATCAAATATCCAAAGATTGCTTTGTCAGCATAAGCACCACTTAGTGCAGTACTGTTAAAGGATCAAAAACAAGTCTAGAAAGCAAAAATGTTACAAAGTAAAAACCAGTACCTTTCTACCAACACTAGCGAAATAAATTAAGCATCACGGACTTCAACTCGTGAGGTTTAACGAGAAATCACTACAATTTTCTCTGTTATTGAAGTTAAACATATTACTTAAATCTACTAATCATTACTAATTAATAGCTTTTAAAAGAATGGCAGCTGAAAAATTTCTAAAGCCAAAAGTTTAAAGTCTGAGCTGATACTGTGTCTCCAAGCTGATGAATAGGACAGTTTTCTGCCAGATTCACCTTTATGAGAGCATATTCCAGCCTTTCCTCCACAGAGCTTTTCCGCCACTCATCAGTCTGTACAACTTTTCTTCCTCCTTGGGCATGATTCTGAAAAGGAAACACAACCATAGGAGCTTGCAAGCATAAAAAGTAAAACTACAGACTACTTTTAGAACAGTGAGGATAATTTGAAGTACTGGCCCAGAAAATAATTTTAGATTATTCAAAAGGGTTTTTTATATTAATGGAAATCATATTGCAAATATGTGTGATGTACTGTTTAGGGGGTCTACTTCCCAAAAAGTATATACCTCAATGAGAATGTAAACAAAACAAAGTGGAAAAAAAAAATTAAAAAAAAAGAGGGAGCAGTTTAATAATTTTCACACTCTTAAAAATGATAAAATGACTAATCCTAAGGGGTTTACTTCTGGGAACAAAATTTAAATTGATTCCTGGCTCATACACTAAACATTTTAAAATTCTAATTAATTTGGCACTAATTCAGTTTCTGCTGGAATAGGGTTATGTTATTCCATATCACAGATGTGTTTTCAATCAGGCGGCCTACAGAACTACTGTTTCTCAAGCACAGAGATGGTCCCAAACCCTCACATATTCTCTTCACCTCACACTCCCCTTTCCTATGAATGCTAAGACGATAAGGGCTTCACAATGCAAGAAAGCTGGTAAGCACTCACCCCAGGACAACCTATGGCAAAGCATCCTATGCATGACTTTAACCACACTTGCAGCAAGTAATTTCCTTTCCTCCCTCGGTTATTTGACATAATCTGACATCTTTCAGTCCTTATGAACCTCCTATACTTTTCAGCGCTTATCACCAAGTTTTCAAAGATAGAGCCACGGGGAAAGAAAACAAGAACTCACCCATGGGAACAGAGACTAGACAAAGTTTTCATTCACATTTATATGAATGTTTGCTAACTTCACAGCCTCTCCTTGCCAAACCTTATTGCCCTCATAAGTCTAGTTTGTAAAAAGGGAATGAAAGAAAAGGGAAAATATTGCGTAAAGGTGTTGTAGAGTCTCTATCCTTAGAGAAAACTCAACTGGAGATGTCCCTGAGCAACTTGCTCTTGCTGACTCTGCTCTGAGCAAGGGCCTTGTACCAGATGATCTCCAGAGGTCCTTTCTCACCTCAGCCCTTCTGAGATTCAATGAAAAGGTATCAAGTGCTCCTCGATCTCTGGCCAGACTTCAGCAACAGAACCATTCCAACTTAAAAATAACCCACAGAGGAGGGTGGACATGCCGGGACCACAGTGCCAAGCAGTACATGCACACAGTGGCAAGTACTACATGCAGATCTTTAAAAACAGGATGACTGTAGTGTTTGCTGAGGGAGAAAAAAATTGTCTTTGCAAGCACAACTCCCAGTGCCATAAACGGGACAAAGTTTCAGTTTGAGAATGTCTGCCATTAGGAATTACGGTTTTTAATCTCAAATTTCAATTGAAGACTGATCTCCTAAATCTGCAAGGAATAAGTTCTTAATTTTTCCCCACAGATCTAGCATTCAAGCAACTGGAGAGGTACATTACTACTACCTGAAGGAACTAGTTAGAGGTCCAATACTTGATATGAGACTTCATATTCTATGTTCTTTGTGCAAAATGAACTGCAGTAATCAGAAATCAAACAAACATATGTATTTACTGACTAATAAATACACCTTTGTATTAGAAAGAAAAAAAACAAAACAGCTTCAGACAAAAGAACCTAGAGTCATTCAGTTGTACTATATCAGAGGAAGGTCTGAATAAATATTTTGAAATACACCTCAAACTCTAAAACCTCATGTAATAATCCTTCTCATTGGCTGTAAGTAACTACATATTTGGACTCTCACATTTGCCCAGAATCACAATAAAATCCAAATCAGGATGCTTACCTGCAGTGAGAATTTGAAAGTTGTAATATTTTATGTTACATTTTGATAGAGCTTTTAAGCATGTTTTAAATCAAGGCTGTCTCTCTTTTTTTTTTTGCAACTGGGGACCGTTTCACTCCCATAGTGAAACTAGAACCATGAATAAGAGAAGAAATTCCAACTTCTAGACCTAGGAGACAGCATCTACTTCCATTTCTACTTTTAATGCTCCATTTAAATTCACATTCTGCCTTCTGCATAAATACCTGCTTAAGCAATTCCTTTGTAATCCTCCTAATTTTTTTCCTCCTCTTTATGCAGCCCTGAACACCCTAATGGCAAAACTCTGCTTATATAGACAAGATCACTCCCAGGTGAATTGTTTAGGCACTAAGAGAACCACATGAAACAGCCTAAGCACAAGGGACAGGGAGAGCCTTCCCATACCGGTTGTCAACACGTTGCCACTATTCCTAAAAAGCACACACCACCATAGGGCAAACTATAAACCAAATGAAGCAGCGCACAGAAAGAATACCTCCAGGAGCTACAAAACAGGCATGCAGAGCTTCTTGTGCACTTAAACTTAAGAGCCAGCTAACCCAGAGAGGTTTTTGCTGTACATTCTGTTCAGAAAACGATTTCACCAGCTGTCTTATGGCTGATAATCTGGAAACCTTCAGGAATGTAATCTTTGTCTTTTATCACTACCATCATTACAGCATGTCAAAACCACTAAATACATGAACTGGAAGTCTATGACACAGCCAAGGACCACAACAACTACTTGACATCTGCTCCAAGCAAACCATCATCACCCAAGAGACAGGTTTACTCTTTGTTTCCCCTAGTGCCCTTGTCAACTAAGCTCCAGCACCTAGGCTTGCTTTGCCTGTGGGTTGGCCTTTTCTGGGGTTTGTTTGTGAGGGTGGTTTTTTTTGTTTAGGGGGACTCTGGTTGGGATTTTTGGCTTTTTATCATTTTGGGGTTTGTCCTTCTGGTTTTTTTTTAAAGAACACCTATGCAGCTTGGTCTTCGGAAGCATATGAAAAACACTGGTGTAGGATCTTTCAAGACACTGGACATGGTCAATCTATTACAGCATTCACATTTTATTATGTACTAATAACTGAACCACTTGTAATATCATTAGTAACTTCTAAGACCCACTGTTAGATTGATAAGCACTGTTTACAGGCTGTTCTACCTACCATTAACAGGGAGGTGATAAAGTCCAGATGCTAAGCTAACTACTTAAGAGCTTAAAATTAGAAATTACCTGAGCATAATGTAGAAGTTTCTCTGTCGCATCAGGATCTTTGTTCCAGATTAGATTCTCACAGAGCTGTAGCAATTCCTTGTGGATATCATCATACACTGGCAGATTCCCAGCATTCACAATTCCCATGTCCATGCCATACTGAAAAACAAATACACAGAATCCTCCAGACAGGGCTGTCAGATAGCACTGCACATCTGCCAAGTACAAACACATGGAAGCCAAAAGCACATCGTACCTTAATTGCGTGGTAAAGGAACACCCCATGCATTGCTTCTCGAATGGCATCCATTCCTCGAAAGGAGAAAGACAGATTGGAAAGACCTCCACTTATCCTGGCTCCTGGCAGTGTTTCCTACAGGAATTGCACATAGCTATTTAGAAAATTGATTTCCAAAAAGGAAATCTAAGCAAAGCATTCAGTCCATACAACAGTTGGCCCCTGAGCTGCGATGCATTGGCTATGTGCTGTTTCTCTTTCCTGTTTCAGATCCTTCTATTTACTCAAATTAATAAAAAGCAATTCAAATCTCTGTAGAAAAAGATATAATTAAAAGAGCCAGCCTAGTTATTTGTAAGCAACTACCATGGTTCCCACAGTCATAGCTGCTATTCTAAACATTTCAATTCTCCCACAGCAGCATTCCAGATTTTCCTCATGCAGACCTACTTATGGCTCTTCCATCCACCACTCCTCTGGAAGCAGGAGCAGGCAAGCCGCCTGCTGGCAGAGCTCAGGAGCAGGCTGGAGCAGAGCAGCTAAGTTCAAGGGTGCAACCTCCCTCCTAGCAGTCCTGTGGTGGCAAAACAGCCTGTGGGGTGTTCAAGTCCCAGACTGCTACTGCCAAAGCATTTCCAGACAGATCAATTTGCCCCGTGAAACTCAACAGTGCAGCTTCCTTGGCTGTTTCAGGTGATGCCCTCCACTGTTGTACCTCCTTGTACACATTTTGGCTAAATAAAAAGTCAGGTCACTGCACAAGTCCCTTCCACAATAATGGAAGTTATTAATAATTTGAAAAGGCAGCTTTCACATACCTTCAAAGGGGTCCTTTTAGCTAGAACACGAATGTGATTGTTGCCTCAATTAATATAGTATACTTAGAGTAGAGATAATGGATTGAAATATATTTATAGAACTTTTTGAAGTTCTATTGGAAATACAGCAATATCAGGAATGGCTGTACTTCAGAAGAACAGCCTCCCTTGACAATTTAAAACATCTATCATTCTGCAGCAGTGTTTTGTTGCTGGTTTTGTTCAGGGGTAAGGGGTGTTGTTCTGTTTTCCAGTGGTTTGCGTTTTTAAATAATCTCAGCAAAATATTTCAAGTTAAAATAAGCTTACAACTCACTTTTATGGTTTTAGTAGCGTTGATAAAATTTATGGCATACAGGTTATGTTCTTCCATTCCAGTTCCTATGGTCAAAATATTAGGGTCAAATATTATATCATTTGGATTGAAGTGCACTTTTTCTACAAGGAGGTGATAAGCTCTGGAACAGATTGCAATCTTGGTTTCTGTTTCTGTTGCCTAGTGGAGAAAAAGAATTCTGACGTGAAACCTACAGAAAACACAAAACAATAAACTTCCCAGAAATCATTTATAGTTCCAGTGGCTCAAGACTGAGAATCTGAACACGACAAATATTAAAAAATCTTATATATAAGAAATTTGTATTAAAAAATATGACCACACCTGTACTTGGAATTTGACTCAACTCATTAAAAACAATTTTGTTCCCCAACATTTCATCATCCTATGCAAAATTTAAGATGTGGTTTTTTTCCAAAACTAAATTAACTCAAAGATTCCAGTCTCATGCAAAAATCAGTTTCTGAACTAAAAAAAAATCTTCTACAAAGGAAAGAAGAGTTCAACGTGGCTGAATACCAAGAAATACAGTCCTGTGCTAGCAGAGCTACACTTAGAGCAGTACTAGGATTCCTCAAACAAGTGAGCAGCATAAAAAATGCTTACTAACAGGGTCAAAATTATTGCTAAGAATATACAGACCTCCTTCAATCACCTGTGCCTGTCTTGCACCTGAGTAAGAAAGCCTTCCACTCTAGAAGAAAAATAGCTCTCCTCTAAATCACTCACCTGCCCCATTTCATCAAAAGCCATGACAACCACAGCTGCTCCATACAACTTAATTTTCCTTGCTTTCTCCAAAAAGTCTTCCTCACCTTCCTTCAGACTGATGCTGTTAACAATGCATTTCCCTTGGCAACATTTCAAACCTGCTTCAATCACTGAAAAATTTGAGGAGTCAATGCATAGTGGCACCTGTAAATAACAGAAGAAAGCCAGGGGAATACATACCAGTTAGGAGTTCCACGTGCTGTTTGCTCATTTGGACATAAAAATGCACACAACATTCATCAGTATTTATAAATAAAAAGTTTCCATATGTTATCTGTAGATTCACTTGGAATTTAAATCAAGAGCTTCTACGGCAAGATCTCTACTCCTTGTATTGTCTTGCGTTTCTGAATCAGATACTCATTTTTAAAGAGCGCACATTGCCAAAGGATCTTAGAAATCCATCCTATATCCACAACTTTAAGTTTTGTGGAAAGCAACATTATTATGCACTGCCAATATAGATTTTGGCTAATAACTGCTGCAAAAGGAACCTGCATTCAGCTTTTCTAAACAACAAAAAGGACTGGCATACATTTAGTTGAAATCAGATAGAAAGTGTTTAAACCTCTGTTTCCCCCAAAACCTTCCCTATTACAGTACCTATTCCTCTTGGGAGACACCCACATCGGCTTATTAAGCACCTAAACCAGTTCATAAATAAATCAATATCAAAATTTTCTGAAATGCAATTTCCAATTCAATAAAATTTTCTTTATAGTGCTTTGGAGTGATTAAATTACAACCTTTGCAATATCAGGTTCTGAAGAAATCAAGTTACAAAATCTGGTCATTGCAGCAGGGCCATCCAGCATCCCATCATCCATATTTATGTCAAGAACTTGGGCTCCCATCTCAACTTGCAATTTGGCTACACTGAGGGCTTCCTAAAGAAGAAAGTCAAAAAAAAAAAAGAACCCCAAGTAAGTAGACAAAAGCCTAGTCATTCTCACAGCAGTATTTCACTTTTCTAAATCAAGCATGCAGCCAAAAATTTTAAAACTTAAAAGGCATCCCATAAAAGAACAAAATAAATGGTCTGTGACGTAAAACAACATCCAAAAGTTGTTAGCATGGCACATCTGATAACTAATTTGTTCACAAAAACATGGCACCAGAGACCTAATGTGCTGGTAGTCTCATTGATTTTAGACAGTTGGTCATGTGCTTAATTGAATTATTTACGATTTGTGTGTTAACAAGGCCTTCTGACTGCACAAGATTTTGGGAAAACATTCTCTGCAATGGCATGACATAAGGGTCTCGCATCACAAGCTTTGCTGTTTTATAACACAGAGTACTCCATTTCTGGAGGGAGGTTGACATTTTTTTCCAGCCACAGAATAACCACTAAGTGCCAAGAAGGAAATACTAAAGCTCTCCCTCGACGGCACATAATTCTCTGAACACCCATGTCTGTTTGCTTTGTCTTTTTTGCCACTCTGCAGACTGAGGAGACAAAAAATGAAGAAGGTTTTTGGTTGTTCACAGTTCGTAAAAATCTGTTTTTAAAGCTCTCTATTTAACAGGTCTAACCTGCTTCATGACTTCTACGAGCTTAAGAGTCAGACTTCCTAGAAAACTAAGGCTTTAATTTTGATTGCATCAACTAGAACAGCAGAGCATACTGTTGGTCAGAGTCTCAGCTCTCAAGAAATGTCACTTTACTATTTGTCTGAATGTTAGAGCAACAATTTACAGAAGAATGAGCGCTCCAGCCTTTTCATTTCTGCCCTGCATCTGTTTCAAGAAAGCAATTACATTCTAAACATCTTTTTCTGTAGCAATTCTCATACACCATGCTGGAGCCAGTGATCAAAGTATATAAAAATGAGATGCAACCACAATGCTGACCAGGACCGGAGAAGGGAGAGAAAGACAGCAAGGGCTGCTCAGTACAACAATTCATTCCAAGTACCGCACATGTTGGTAGCGGGAATGACATACACTTCCCTGCCTCCCTCATCTGTTAATCCACCTCTAGATACAGCATGGACTAGGACACTTTCTAAACAATCATCAGCTCTGTAACTTAATTCAAAACGGAAAGTCATGTTTCCTGTAACACTTGGGGGAAAAAAAAAACAAAAAGAAAAAAAAAAGTCCTTGTAAAATCCTCCTCACAAGCTTATTAGGAGATAGTAAAAGTAGAGAAACAAAGGACAGTGAGAAAAGTAAATTCTCCTTGTTTTCTCACTCTTGTAAACTGGTGTAGAATATTGCTTTGTGCCAGCAAAACAAGCAAGTAGTAACACAGTGCAATGAAGGAATGAAAAATCAGAACATCAAGTATAAAGATTATCGTTAAAATGTATACTTCATAGTTGCCTGCCATGATGAGTTTAGCAAACTTCCGTGATCCTGCAACATTGCAGCGCTCGCCAATATTAACGAAGTTGGTGTATGGTCCAATTCTGAATGGCTCCAGACCTTAAAAAGATATTTTTCAACATATTTGTAAAAACTGAACAGAAAGTGTGAGAAAGATGAAACCTCTTTTCTAAACTGTGAGACAGAGGTTTGCGTCTCCTTAAGAACAGTAATTTCTCAGCACATCAGGATGTGCAAAAATCTCATGAGTAACCACAGCAAAGAATCTAGTGAGTAACCACAGCAAAGAAATGCAATGCAACAACTTCCAACACATATGTCAAAAGTTTCTATCCTTCCTCAGTGACTTAACCAGTGAATTTGTCCAACATAAAATGACGTGAAGCTATGATTCTTTGGGCATATACGTCTATGCACATAGACACCTTCTCTCAACTTCAATTATATTACCTCAAGACTCCACTACTGCCAGAGAAGCAACCCACTGAACTGACTGACAAACAAGGACAGCTCTTACCCACATACGCGAGTTCAGAGAAACTGTCCAAGTGGGACCCTTGGGCAGCAGGCTATCCAGAGGCAAACAAGCCTTCAGCACAACAAGAATAAGCTAATGCATGAAATCCCAAGCCAACCATGATTTGCGCTAAAATGCTTTGAGAGGAAAATACTAGATCAAAAAGAAGGCACTGTTTTACTAGAATACATGGCCCAAAGGCTTAAAAGAGAGCCTGGCTGAGGAACACACTTTGCTAAAACAAAAGACATTCTAGACCTGGAGGTATTGCTGGAATACTGTCTCAGTAAGACGGGATCAACATCAGGCAACACAGGACAGCTCTCACAGCAGGTAAACAAGGCTCTTGTCCCAGCTTTGCCACCAACCATAGTCAAATTGCCTGGTCCCTCTGTGCCTGACCCTTTGCTCTTGCAAAGTGAGGATGAAGATACTCATCATTACAAAGTGTTTGAGACTTGCAGAGTAAAATATGCTGCCATGGTTATATTATACAAGACTGTAATAAAACGTTCCATTAATCCTTTGGCCAAAGAAGTAAGATCTAGATCTGGTTACACATCCATAAGCTTCCGGGATTCATGTAAAACCAGAAACTCATAGTGCCTTTCTGATCAGCAGAAAACAGCAAATGAATTTGTAGAGGTTGCACAAGTTACAAAGCTCAAACTGTTAACACTCCGTTTTACCTGACAGCAGCATGTATCCTTGAAAGAGAGAAGGTGGAACACGAGGCTTACAGAATTTCACAGCTTCAGCAATTTTCCTGAGTTACAGAAAGGGGAAAGTAAAGTTTAAACTACTCCAGACAAGACTCAAACACAATGTACTAAACATACATCTACAACTCCAGTTTAGCCCTGTAGCAGACAAGACCAATTAGCTAGTTTCACCTTGTGTGGCCAAAGCAAAAAACTTACTCCCAGAAGATTCTATCATAGCTATTTGCTTTGAACATAGAAAGCTGTAGACTTATCAAATACAGACTGTGAGATACCTGATGGATATCAGAAGCAGTCCTCAACCACATTGACTCTTATTGTATTCATGATGTGCTGAGCTGAGTAATTGCTGGTGATTGCAGCCAAAAAAAAAAAAGGGACAAACACTGTTCTGTGCTGAGACACATTTCTTAGATGCCAGGATGACTCATAGTGTTCACGCTCACTCTCTCTTCGCTCCAGTGAAGAGCGACACATAGTGTCCTCTATATGTTCACACACCACCTCTTCCCAGTTTGTTTTGAACTGTCAAGCCCAAGAGAAAAAGGGAGGTTTTCCCACTGTCCTACCTCCAGTGAGAAAGGTATGAAATGCTCCTTTTGACTGTCCACGACTAGCATCAGCTGTAGAGCATTCCCACACCTCCTCTTCAGACATTTCAACCCCGCTCACCTTCCTTCTACCATCAAAGGAAAGCTTAAGTTTCACCTTGCAGCTAAGAGTGCCAGAAAGAGCAAGAGCAGAGATGGGAAGTCTATTCTACCCAACTGTAAACAGGGAGGAATAATTCCAAAACAATTTTAGAGGACAAAAAAGCAGAGGTATAATCCTTGTTTGAACCATGCCTCTACTCATTCTTCAAGATACACATGGCTATGAAAGCCAGGTTGTTTCTACTCCATATATTGCTGCTACTGGCATTCAGGTGATCCATCTTTTCAGAAACCTCTAAGACACGCCATGGAATATTGTTCCACAGAAGCAGCACTTGATTTACTTCCCAGTGCATCTGAAGCTGTAGCTTATGAAGTACCTGATATGTGCTGGTGTAGTTCCACAGCAACCTCCAACTATGTTGACCAAACCATCCAAAGCAAAATTCTGTAAAACGGAAGGAAAGATAATTTTGTTTCAAGTTAATAAAGGTATCTTTATATATGTATATATGTATATATATTTTTTTCTCCCTTAGGAATTGTTTTGAGATGTGGATTCCCAAAGCTTATTAATAAGCGTTCTCAATACCTAATTTTAGGAAACTGCCCTTGAGACTGGCCTATTTTATACTGAGGCCCCAGACAAAAACCTTTGTTAAGTATCAAAGACCAGTCATGCTGTATTATAAAAGGGAATTAACACACAGCAGATAGATACTGCGTTCTTGCTCACTCACTGCAGCTTCAACCACACAGTTCTGTCTTGCACAGATTAAGTGGCACACAGAAGGACACCCTACACTAGAACATCACCATCATCAGCGATTCCTACCCACACCATTCTGTGAAATTCTACGAAGTTCATGAAAAACACTCAGCTTTTTGAGCAATTCTCAGATGTAAAAATAAGAACATACAAGTACAAATGAGCAACACCCACAGATCAAGCTGCAGGAAAGCTACTTAGTGTAGGACATGAAAGTAATTTTGTCAGAGTTTAAGTAATTTTTTGTAACCTGATACCTCAAATCACTACCACTTAGCAAATTGTCCGTAAACAATCCAAATTACATACAGAGTCAGTGGAAAAAAAAAACAAACAACAAAACCCAACTCACAATACTGTAACAAATATGCATAAAACACAAGCAAAGAATTATTGTATACTAGTATGTCAGATATGACACACAAGAAATATTTCATACCTTTATATGCTTGGCAGTCACTTCTGGAGTTTCATCATAACCACCAAAAGTATTGGGAAGACCTTGAAACATAATTTTTCTAGTATTACCATTATTGCCATTTATTTAAAACCCACAAGAACAGAATTAAATTCCATAAAAGGTATATTTAAAGTAGCTACAGTTGTATAATGACTAAAATACCTCATCACCTTTGCAATCTTTTCTCAATAGATTATTAATTATGCAATAGAGCATTCTGGATTCACAGTAACAGAACTAACAACAGTTACTTTCAGCAGCTTAAAATATTCTTAACCTCTTTTTAATAGTAAAAACAACTATCTTGTCATGCTAATTCAACTCTAATCTTGCCAATGAGATGGAACAGTTTTGTTACATTTCATCTGCCTTTAAGCATAGTAACGTGCACCAACACACCTGCGTTGGGGTAACAGATGATGTAGGCTGTTGTATTTTTTCCAATTGTTTCAATGAATGGTCGCATTTCAACTGCCCCTAGAGCACAATTTAAGCCAATACTGGAAAATAAATTTTCAAAAATTATTTTGAGGGAAAAACAACACTTTCACACACAAAATAGACAAATGTTAGTGCTGGTAACTGCTAACTCCCACAATCATCTACAAACCAACCTGATCTCCAACTTCTTTAATCATCATCATCATCAACATAGCAAGACTGTGCAAAAGGAGAACCCACAAGAGGAAGAAAAGTTCAAGGGGGAAGGGGTTGAACTCAATTGAACTGGGAACAGTAAATCAAGATTTCATTTCAAAATCCAGGAGGAATGTGGCAGCATTTTGGCAGCAACTGCAGCAATGTGATGGCTCTGTAATTTCAAGGTGAGAGAGAGAACAAGTGGAATGAGAATGACAGACTGGAAAGGAGCCTGGTGCTACAAGAGTATGAAAAAGTTTCAAAAAGCAAGGCCTGGTTCAAGCTGCTAACTCATCATTTCCTTTAAAAATGATACATAAATTACATCATCCTTGGAAGAAACCAAGTGCCTCCCCTAGATGCCTCATGACAGCACTAAGCTTGAGCAAACGAATCTGTAACATCTTAGCAACCAAAAGAGCACTACAGCAAAAGTATTACTGCATGAATAAGCTGCTACAACAACTTTATCTGTACATGAGGTACAATCATGTTTTCTTTCATTCAGTGGCAGATACTTAAATGGGACTTGCACTCCAAATGTACGTAAGAGTTTTTACCTATATTTCCTAATCCCTCTGCACCATTCTAAAAATCTTCTTATGAGCACTGCAAAATGCGAAAGGTGTGCATAGTGCTGCTGAAACAGGAAAATGAAGCAAAGCGTTCTCCTTTTCTGGAATAATGATTTCAGGATGCAAGCTAACCCATTGAAACAGGAGTGGATAACAGCCACATGTCTTAACTAGCTGAGCCACAGCGGCTGACTCGGATAGCTAAGTTAACAACACGCATGCATGCCCACTTAGTTTCTCAGAGGTCAAAAGCAATAAAGCCCTGCACAGCACTGGGAACATAAAATGTTTTTGACTTTTCTCCCATCTCCAAGGAGTAGGCAGGGGCTTGGTAATTGCACAAGAATCATAGAATCATAGCATGGGTTGGAAGGCACCTTTAAAGGTCATCCAGTCCAATCTCCCTGCAGCGAGCAGGGACATCTTCGGCCAGATCAGATTGCTCAGAGCCCCATCAAGCCTGACCTTGAGTGTCTCCAGGGATGAGGCCTCCACCATCTCTCTGAGTAACCTGTGCCAGTGTCTCATCACCCTCGTAGTAAAGAACTTCTTCCTAATGTTTAATGTAAATCTATCCTGCTCTAGTTTAAAACCATTGCCCCTCGGCCTCCTCAGCATTCTTGTAGATCCCCTTCAGGTACTAGAAGGCCACTATAAGGTCTCTAATAGTAGTAGAAGTAAATGCTTGCACAGCCAGTTTCACTTGTTGGACAGAACAACAAGTCCTTGAGACCAAACAATACATAAACCCCTTCTTCCAATAGCTTAGGGGTAGGTTTTTTGGGTTTTTTGGGAGTGTGGGGAAGGGTTAGCATAAATGATTTTTTTCAAACAGCCAGCTCTACCTTCAAAGTGCTTTTTCTAATGTATCTCATATGGGTCATTCTAGTTAAACACAAAAACTTCAGAAGAATCCTTTTCTTCACACTTCTTTCTTTGGTGTTTACATATATTTAAATTCTTCATACAGATCCCTTGGATACAAACAACAGGTGCAGGGAATACACAGTTAGAGCAATGAGGTTCTGGATTTTCTTTCCAAGTGAGGACTCATCCCTCAGCATTTTCAAAGCAAAGTAAGGTAAGAAATGGGTTAACAGGACTGTCCTTATCAAACGTAGATGAATGCAATGTATTTCCTACTGTTACCATTCCATTTACAAGCTCCCAGCTCACACTCCCCATGTCCTCTTTTTAAGCTTTCTCCTGTATTAGACACTTTCATCTCTCCCTTCCACTTTTAATATCCATCTGTCTCTGGTTCTGAGTACAAGCTCACCTGTCACTCCCTTTACCTCACCTTACCAGAGAAATCATGTAAAAGCAGACAGCACACTCAGCAAGCAAGCACTTCTTGATGTTCCCACTTGATTTACTGGGTACTGACCCTCCAGACTGCCTGAACCATTACCCACTACAGGAGTTGCTGACAAATATACCTATGAGCACAAGACCATCCAAGCACTACCTGTTTCAAAACTGCCAAATGAAACTAAGCAGACACACACATTTTCACTCAGAAACAAAAAGTAGTTTCTGTGGCCACTATCAACTCCTCACAGCACTCAACAGCACCATAAAGGAAAACATTTGAGAAAAGCAACTGTTAAACACACCTTTATAAGGCAACAGTCTTGAACCAGACTGCTGGTATGCTATCACTGCTACCCTAATGTAGTAACCACCACACACCCTCATCTAAACATCACCTCCATCCCTTGCTCACTTCTGCGCAGCACTCACGCATCAGCTCCTGGGAAAGCTGAGGCTGCAGAGCGCCCTTGGGACCAGAACAAACACCACATTAGAGCCCTAAACTCAGCATACGTCTTCTGAATGCTACCACAGTAGAAACAATTACAGGATCCAAAAACATGAAGGGAACTCATGCTCCCACAACTAAAATCCTTCCTGGACAGAGCTGTAGCCTTTGCACCTGAGCACCTTTCATAGCAGGCAGCTTGCCACATGTCTCTAACCACTTACTAAGCACAGTTCGCGAGTTTCTCAGCTACTACCTGTGTCAACCAGGCACAAAGCACACACTTTCTAGGGGGAGCTCCAAGCCAAACTGACTTAAGGACAACACATCACCCTAAACAGGACGTACAAAACTCAAAAGGAAACACATATAAAATAATCCCTAGTAGACTGTTATTAATCAGCTTTTTTACAAGCCTAAAGCCACTCTGTACCAATTTGGCAAGAGAAACAACATTAAATGCAATCTGCTACCACAACTAAAACCCTTCTGCCACCGTGCTGTATAGTAGCCTTCGCACAAATGAGAAGCAGGCCCTAAGCATTCAGACCCATAAGATAGCTTTTATGAGATATGGTTTAATAAATTCTTGATTTCTGCTCCAGTGCCCTTCTCTCCTCTTCAGAGACGAGAGAGTTATGAGCAAGATTATCTGAGACAGACTCATGCCAAATACAGATCGCTAGGCTGTGATGCTGAGAGGAAGAGTCAACTACCACCCTGTTCCAAGAGTCTCCATATGTCACTTCTGGAGCACCGTCTGGTCTGGGAAAGTAGAGCCTCAAGGGCAGTCAGGAAAGCTGTGAATGCAGTCTTCTGCTTTCATATCACTGAGAGGACAGATTGTGCGTTTTAGCTGGAATTTTGTTGTAAAAACAAACAATGGCTCACCACAATGCGCACGGCATGCACTGCTAACAGTGAATTAAATGTTTTAGATTAGAATATTCCAGGAAAAAACCACCTATTTCCAGTGTAAGTTTTTGTGTGAACCAATGTGAGAGAAGAAATAGTGAAGAGGGAAGAGAAGGCAAGGAGGAGGTAGAACAGGGCATAGAAACACAGAATAGAGAAACAGGGAACAATTCAAACTCACTTGCAGAACCTCACACAATGACCAATATCTGATATATTATGCATTTCCATAGGTCTTAATCTCATACTTATTTCAATTTCTCAAGCTCAATGGAAAAGAATGCAAATAAATAGAAGCATCAGGAGTTCTCAAAACAGCCATGCACATCCTTGAAAAAAAACCTCAGGGAGTATATATGGTTTTTTAAGAGTTCAGAATACTGGAATGAAATCTTATGATTTGCTCTTTCGAGCCACCCTGAAACATTCTGAGCTGACACTACTCTCCTTTAAGAAAGAGGTGTAAGCCCTGCCCACAGCAGGTTTTTTATTAGCTCCTTGTACAATCCGAGACAGTAGGAGATGGCAAACTAAAGTTTAAGAATTTTTTTTTTAATGTTTCGACCTAAATGTGATTTCAGCAGCTGTTTCAAACACAAAATTACAGATTATTTAGAGCAATATTTTAAAAATTCAGTATTCTTTGGAAACATAATTTCTGCTGAGGGAACGAGAGCAGAACACATCAGCAATACATGTGATTAGATATGATCACAGTCAGTATAGCTTCCACTTAGCTAACAGCATATGGTTAAAAAGAGAACAAAAATCTACAGACAACTTAATAAGAGAAAGACAGATTTCCTTACCAAAGTGGCTTACTGTGGGAAACACTAATGACAAATGCCTCTCCTGTCTGGCCTGAGAGTGTACGCCCACTCTTATCCACAATGGTTCCAGAAACCTAAATATCCATTGGAGACAGAGAAAAGAGAAGAATCAAATTAACAATAAAATTAAGAATTTAAATGGCTGAACTGCCAAAACTCAAAGCAGAGGGACCTGTGCCATGCTGGACCTTGTCTTCACCAACA